AAAAATTTGTATGGGCGTTCACCATTGTTATTTAAAGCTATGCTAGCGCCACTTTGACAATTACCAACCCAATTTCACGCTCGAAGATTTCGCATAATAATGACATCCACTTGCCACATGTGTAAACACCAACTTGCTATTTGTCACTTCTCATTTGTCACTTGTCATTGCCGCTCGCAGTTGTCACTTCTCAAAATGTAAACCGGCCTTTACGGAAGAAAGAGTGTTGAGTTGATCCAGTTTTGTTCCCTAGTCATAGTGTTGCCACTTTAGCGACTTTGTCGCTAAATCTAACGAGTATTTTTTTTAATTTTGGGAGTTTAATTCAATGTTTAGCGACAAAAAATATTCTGGCAACTTTTAGCGACATTTGCACTAACTTCAATTTTTGTTGCCATCTGACTACTTTAAGGAATACTATACTCTATCCGTTAAAGAAATTACGAAATGTAAAGTGCCGAAACTAAGGTGTATAAAATCTCTGTATGTCGTTTTTACAATAATAAACACATTAAAAAAAGCACAACTACATTTCATTACCTATTATAAATAAATCACCTAACATGTACAACATTATTATTCTATATATTAAAAAAAATAATTTGCAAATTGTATGTGGTTTTATTTCCTCTAATTCACACTTCGATCAATAATATACAATTGATCGAAGTGTGAATATATACAACATGTAACAAAAACCCTGTGGTTCCTGTTAAGTGTGGTTATCAGAATCAGTATCCAAGCGTATAGAAATAATTTTTTTTTTCAAAAAAAATCATTTAAAAAAAATTAATTTTAATGAAAAAAAAATTTATTTGCAAATTGTATGTGGTTTTATTTCCTCTAACTCACACGAGTATCGGTAATGCGGGGTCTTTGACAATCCTCTTACTCCTCGGCCAATGCAGAGATAATAAAACCACATACAATTTGCAAATTTTTTTTCATCAAAATATTTTTTTAAAAGTTTTTTTAAAAAAATTATTTCTATATGCTTGGATACTGATTCTGATAACGCAGTTAACGATAACCACAAGATTTTTGTTACATGTTGTATAATAGATCGAAGAATTCACACGAGAATCAGTAACGTGGGGTGCCTTTACAATCCGCTTACTCCTCGGCCAATGCATAGATAGTAAAACTCTTTTCAAAGTCTAATTCTTTTTTTTAATTTAAATTAATTTTTTTAAATGTTTTTTTTTTCTTTTCTAAAAAATATATCTATACGCTTGGATACCGATTCTGATAAAGCACATATTTTTTTGTTTTGCTTTTTTTTTAAATAAAATTATGGTTAAAATATAGACGTCCGGTACTCGCGTACGGTGCTGGGAAGGGGGAGGGGTAGAGGGGGTCGTGGGAAGCACCCTCTACCCTTCCCCCGTTGCGGAAATGTATAGTTTATGAATAATATTTTTTTTTGTAAATCATAACCTCACTTTTTTATAGAGGAATATTGACGCAAAGTTACTTCTGCAACTGCTTCGGCACTGCGGGAAGTGCAGCTCGTTCGCCCTTGCGTAGCAAATCTCAGGCACCCATGCTCGCCTCCGCAGCTTCGGCTTATTGGTCACTCACTTAGGTGCTTGCGATTTGCTACAGCGGGCGGGGGCTGCTCTCCCTCCGTGCCTACGGCTTTACAAAACACTCTAGGGGTAGGGCAGACAAGACTACGTGGAGTTGGGGTGTGCTAATTCGGTTTTAGAACCAATTTGACCATTCTTATCTATAAAGTCTGGTTGCCCTAAACTCTGCTATGATAGTGGTAAATGAAATAATGTAATGTGAATTGTTATAATTTTGTTTTCTGAAAAACCCCTTGACTGCTCTCCACTGCGACTCAATTTGTTATATATAAGTCCCATCTCCAGCCACAAATCGATTATCTGGGTCCCAGTGATTAACTTTTTTTATGACTTTAACTGTGTTCAAAAACAAATTGACATATTTGCGTTTCGTTATTGCAATTTTTAGTGAAATTTATTTTTATCGTAATTAATTCAAAAGGCATTTTTGAAATCCTAAAACAGTGAAAATGGTTTAAGCTTAACGCTGACAATCCTCATAAATTGAAAACAAAATTAAAAATCAAGTACCAGACATCTACTTCATAATACGAGAACAAATTGGCATATTTGCGTTTCGTTATTACACAATTTTTAGTGAAATTTGTTTTTATCGTAATTAATTCAAAACGAATTTCCGCCATCTAAAAACTGTGTGTCTGTGTGTCTAAAAAAAAGTGTATTAGGTTCAAGCTCAACCCTATCAAGCCTCCTAGACTAAAAACATTATCAAAATCAAGTACCGGATGTCTATAGCCAACCCCATTATAGCACCGTTTGATCAACACCCAACTTTTGTTACGACGATTCTTCTTCGCCAGTACCGATGGACCAGCTCCCTCTTCTTCCTCCTCCGACTCAGAACGGCACACAGGTACCTCATCCATATTTCATAACAATACTAAGTTTCCTTAATAGATACTAAGTTAGTAGTTACCTAAGTAGATTTATTAGTTTTTTGACATCATAATATTAAACCAATAGCAACAAAAACTATTTAATTTCATAACTCATACAAACAAAACACGCAAGGATCGGTCGTTGCAAGCGCACTGCGCTCGGAACATCCATCCGACCTCGCGAAAACAGCCGAACGTGACCCGAACCCGATCGCGTGGGACAAACAGTTGAGGTATTTTCATCATTATCACAGAGTACTTTTTTATATAATCATCATTGAGAGTTAAAAAATATATTTGATAACCAACAATAGAAATTATAATAGTTTATGCAAGTCGTAAAAATATGATTACTTTGTCAAAACCTTTGTTGTCGGTAACTTAGTAATCTTGTCGGAGGTTCAGTATTTTATTCGGAAGTTTATTTTTATTATTCCAAGATCTATTTTTAGGAGAAATGTAATTTGACCGTTCTCTCCTTTGTTTGTTAAATTTGTAATTTTTTTTGGTATAATAGTCGGCCACAGATCGCTGGAGATTAATTTGTTTTTCGGAACCATTATTATTTCCCAATTCTATATGACATTATGCTATGGAAATAAGAAAAATAAAGTATTCTAGCTGTTTCAACACATTTCAGACATTAGATGTTTTTTACAGCATACGCCGCAGAACTGCATTTGCTAGCTAATTTAGATATATGATTTTCAACACTACTTGATGACTTTAATTTTAAATAACCAATATGTGCCCGTAACATTTTTAGGAACGAATTTTTATGATTTTTAGATTAAGTGCATAAAATTGTGCAAGATACTAGCAAAAGGCAGTAAATTCAGGTTTTCAGTATTGGAAACATGTTTTTTTAAAGGGTCGTTAACGACCCACTGGGCAAATAAACTTACTTATTTGTATGGAAATCCAACATCAAAATAAAATGAAAGAAAATGTTTTAAGTCAGTTTTTATTCATAACAAACGTAACAAAATTATTCATGAAAATTGGCAAAACACTTGTCATGTAGATTTATAGCACATTTTTTACATATTTTGGTGGTTTTGTTTTTACAAACAGCACAACGTTTTCGTGTTTGATCTATTATGATCAAGTGATCTGCACCGTGCTTCCGAACAGATATAGGAACATTACTGTGAAAACAGGCAGTGTCTTTGGTTCTGGGTGAAGTTTTGGCGCTCCATACTTCTGTAACAAGGAACGCGCAATCGAACGTCTGAACTCTAAAGTGTCAACTTCAGTACCCATTGATCTAGCTAGCAAAGTAGAATTATTGACGGATACATCAATCATCCACATTATAATGCTAGAATACCATTTTTTACCTCTAATTGCAATTCTGTATGTCCCAACATTGGCATCTAGTCTATCGACTCCACCCATAAAACGATTATACTGTTGAACTACATAAGGCTGCTGAATATCAACATTTTTTTCTCGACCACCGAATAGCGTTTTGCTTTTTGAATTGGATGAACACCGTATTCATTTCAGAGTAAAGTAACAACACTGTTGTCATTCCAGCGTACAGCACGTATTTGGTCGTTAGTGTCCAAACGGTAGTCGTAATAGTCTCTTTGCTGCTTTTTGACAGACTTGACATCCATTAACGGACATTTATCAATCCTATTTCGGCGCACAGTGCCTGTTACCTTGATGTTCTTGTCCTGCAAATTGCTTATAAGAGTTGGTGAGGTAAAAAAGTGTCACAAAAAACTGAAAATCGGGTTTCAGGGTATTCTTTTTTCATAGCTTCCATCATCTTAGTAACTACGTGTTCTCCAAGTCCAGTGGATCGTTGTTCAGATTTTCCCCTCATATAAATCGGCACGAAGACAGTACCCTAGTCGTGTAGCAGCCGTCCAAGCTTTGAATCCGAACCGTACGGGCTTGCCGTGTATATGCTGCTTGCATCCATGGCGGCCATAATATGGTATCATTGACTCGTCTATACTGCAATTTTTTTCTATAGGTGCATACATCAAGAATTTTTCATTCAGAAAAGCAAGCAATGGTCGAACTTTAGCCATTTTGTCATTTGGGCGCAAATTATTATTGTCTGCTGCATGAAAATATCTGTATATTTCCTCAAAACGACTGCGGAGCATCGACTTTGAAACAAGAATATTGTGAGTGTCTTCATTTTTTTCCCAAAACATTCAACGTCTGGGTAAAGGTACATAACCACTAAGAATGAGAATTCCTAGGAAACAGTAAATATCATCTCCCGACAAAGTAAACTTTGTATTGGGGTCCTGTTGCACTGCATATACAACAGAATGTCTCACAAGATGTCGAATTACATCTTCACTGAAAAACAACTCAAAAACTCTAAAGGTTCACTTTCTTTACTCAAAGTTAGTACGGTTTGAGGAGGTGGTTGAACCCAGACATTTTGTGGTAAATTTAAGTCTCTCTTGGTCCATCGTCTTGGTTTCTGTTGAAGTAATGGACATGCGCCTGACCTGCTACTAGTAGTACTGCTACTAGACTGCTCTTGACTAGTAGAAGGCCTGTCTTAACTGGTCGTCGGTTGCCTGAGTTGCTCATTACTTATTGTAACTGCTGGTTGAGACTTTTTAGGCATACGTCGAGTTTTAGCAGGAGTATGATGAGAGATTTCAGGTTCAATAGCCTCGATTTCAACATGCTGTTCATCTTTCGACATGTGAATTACTAGCTCAGCAGGCGCGAGAAGCTGGTGCCGATTCAATCTATCAAAATCGCAACAGTCTTTTTCCCCCGACTCACCATCAGAAATTTCACCGTTACATGGTGGATCTATATAAACATATCTATCGTCTATACCTTGAATGTCTTCCACCTCCTCCAAAGCTTCGAGGGCATCAGCTATTTTAGTAGTGGAAAGCAATCGACGAGACCTGCAAAACGCCAAATTTAAGTAATTTCTATGCCCGTGGGGTCGATAGCGACCCGCTAACATATTTTCTACGTTAACTTGTTAAATAAATATGATTATCGCAAAATTTTATCAAAAAAGTCTAGAAGTATTCTAAAGTTACATATACATATATAAGTTATGTAAAACAAAGTTTATATAAAAAATACTTACATTTTTGCTAGAGCGAGTGAACAATTTTATTGCGAAAAAACTCAACTGAATTTTAACTTTCCATCTGTCAAATTTGACACTCTTGTCGGAGTACGGATGATGCGCATGTATGAAGTAGTACTTTAGATAAGCAGAAGATGGCGCTAGACACAAATAATTTATTACCGTTTTCTTTCGCAACGCATTTTTATCGAAGTAAGTAGAATGGGTCGTTAACAGCCTCCTGGGCATATATGGGTTATGGTTCATGAGGATAGTTATATCTGTAAAGGACCAGCTTAATTACCTAATCTATCCGATCGATTTGATCGGCTATTCACCTCAATGTATGTAGTCTGTGGATTCTATAGGTTTATTATATTTACTTTCACTCACTATCACTCTTCTTGCGTCCTCATCTGCTGTTCGGCGGTAACGAAATTAAATCTTTGTTTTGATTGTTTATCTAAGATCAGTTTATGTAAGACTTTTACTTTATAATACAATTAATTACTCTAAAATAACTGAGTTGCGCATAATCTTATTGCTAGTTCGAAGTTGAAAAGGTATGTAATGTTATATTTACCGCTAGCGGTCAGCCGCCGTAGAGTCTATATTACCTGATGATGCCTCGTGTAGAGGCGAAACACGTGTCGTATTATCGTCGATGGTGTGTCTTGCCTGGAATAGTGGTGTTGAGAGTAGTGGTGCTTGGTCTAGTGGTGACGGAGTTAGTGTATGCAATTGAGGGAGGGCGGGAGGTGTGCTTCAATCCAGGTAAGACACATCATTTTATATGTTTAGCGGAAAGTTGCAAAGAAATTTATATTTTTATTTTTTATTATAATGGATTTCCGCAAAGTAACGCCTGATTCTATCAATTATTTCCATTATGTTTATGAACCGAACCTCTGCTGGCTTGCGCCTGTGTTTTATATTTAAGATATAATATAATGACCTTTTATGATGAGAAAGGAGAAAGGGGAATGAAAGTGAACGCAAGTAAGACGAAAGTGATGGTTTTTAAAAGAGAAGAAAGCAAAACGGTATGTGAAATAAGAATAGAAGGAGAGTTAATTGAGCAAGTGGATGAGTTTGTGTATTTGGGATGTGTATTTAACAGGGATGGTAGATGTGATAAGGATATAGAACGACGAGTAAATGCAGGGAATAGAGTAAATGGGGCACTACACTCTATTGTGAAGAACCAGAATGTGTCAAAAAAAGCACGTATTGTAATTCATAATGCTGTGTTAGTCCCTACTTTAATGTATGGTAGCGAAAGCTAGGTGTGGCAGAAGAAGCACGAAAGTAGAATAAATGCTGTAGAAATGCGGTCTTTAAGGAGTATGCTAGGGTTGAATCTGAATGACAGGGTGAGAAATTGCGTGATAAAAGATAAATGTGGTATGCAAGATGATGTTGTGACCAGGATTAAGAAAGGAATGCTTCGGTGTTTTGGTCACGTAGAGAGAACGAATGAGGAAAGAGTGAGAAAGTAAATTTATATGGCAGATGTGAACGACTGAGTCGGGAAGGGACGCCAAAAGTTTATCGACCAAATTGGCGATATTTTGAAAATGGGCCACGTTAGAAGTACCCTTAACCGACGATCATGTATGCGTAGATATATGGATGTAAGGGAGGCGAAAGAGGTATGTCAGGATCGTGCCAAATGGAAGTCCGTAGTCTCTGCCTACCCCTCTGGGTGACAGGCGGGAGTGTTTATGTTATGTTATTTGTATCTTTTATATTATAATACATTTCATAATAATAGATATATTTCCTTTTTGTTCTTATAAATGCTATATCAATGTAATGAAGTAAGTAGTTATTCGATATTTTATGTAGCACTACATACGTGTTTTGCATCAAATCATTTCTTTAGTGTGTTTATCATTTAGTTTTTAGAATCTATTTCTTGAGTCAAAAATATCGATTTTTCGAATCGATACACAGTACTGAATCGATTCAGTGAATCAATATTTCACCCTAGAAAATCTAGATCGAATCTCTTTCTGTTTTTATAAGAACTTTAAAATTATTTACACGGCGGCTCCGTGGCGCAGTGGCTTAGCAATGAGTGCTGCACTGTGGGCCGCGGGTTTGACCCGCACGGAACAAATATTTGTATGGCCTACAAATAATTGTTACGGGTCTGGATGGTTGTTCTTGTGCAATTTATGTTTGTAAACATTTCTTTTATAAAAAAAAATTACAATTAATTGTATGTACCCAAACTCGTAAAGAACGACATTTTTTCTATTTAAAACTCGCAAAACTACTGTGTGCTCAGTTTCTTTCGCCGTTAATGGATTAAAGAAATAAAAAATAAGTAATGTTTGTAATATATACTTTGTTGTATCTTTTGATATTGTAAATATAAAATCTTAAAGCAAATCGAAATAAAATCGATTTTTAAGAAATCGATCTTTTAGAACTAATTTTTTTGTGATTCGATTCATCATATTTCGATTTAAAAATGGAGTTTTTAGGAAAGAATCGACATCCCTTTAACGCATGTCCTTACTGTCGTTACTTTGAGGTTCAGTTCAATGCTTCCAGATCCCAAAAGTAAAAGTACAATGTTGCCAGTTAAATAATAAAGTTTCTTAAAACAATACAGCAGATTTCAAAATCGATTACAGCAAAATTACAGAAAAACTTTGTTTAAATATTGATAGAAAATGGAAATAAGCTAATTTATGACTTGGTTTATCAATACAAGTTGCTGTAAGTTATTAACTTTATAAAAACATATATTTATATACAACAAAATATTTATTTATTTATTCCAGAATAATTTTGATAATTTTCATAAATTTTTGTTGTCATCCTAGAAATCATTTCCTAAGGTAGATTAAAATTCATGCAATTCTCGTATTAGTATAGCGAGAGTAAAGGTCGAGTTTCCTCATAGGCGCGGTTATCCGGCGCAGTGACACCGCTGCCAACTTTATGGGCCCTCAGCTCCATCCAAGTGCGTTAAGTGCCTAGACCCGCACAGCTCGAAAAAGTGCCCTCGGCCCCATGATGCCGAATTCCCACCTACATATGTCCTTTGCAGACAGACTGGCCATACGGCCAACTTCAGAGGTTGCCCTCGCGCTCCCCGCCCCCATCTCAGCAACAAAACTGCCAAACAAGCTTCGCCACCGGTCAATGTTACCGATATGATGACCGTACATTCTCGGCTCTCCCATCGAAAATGTCCCTTCAGGGCAATTCTCTGCTACCTCAGGGCCTATATCGGCCTTCACAGGACCTCTTTCGGCCCTTAGGGCATCTATCGGCCCCCTCAAGCTCTCTATCGACCCCCTCAGGGTCTCCTACCAAGACCCTCACACCAGGCGCAATCCTCATTTGCCGATGACCTAGATACAGTGTATTCTGCTATCCGGAGCTTCGACATAAGGGATATCGTCATTCTAGCACTCAAACTGTGCGCTTCTCAGTCCCTACAGGACCGTCTGCTTGTTCTTACCAAGCACTACAACTTTCTGAGTTTAATATAACTTAGTCATCTCAATTCGTAAGCCTTAGTAAGGCACAATTCTCAGCGGCTACTAGCCGCCTGCGCCCTTTCACCCAAGGGGGGACGCTTCCGATACGACTAATAAGATCTTGCGCCAGGTCAAAGCCAGTCTCTTAGGTGGTGTTTAGTGCGTAAAAGTCTCTACATAACCACGCAGCCGGCTGCGTGGTATGCGATGAGCATTCACCACCTTCCTCCCCCGCTTTACGGAGGGTAGCCCTTTTTGTTTCTGGGCGCAAAAAAAAAAGCCGTGAAGGCAGTCTTGCCTTGGCTTGGCGTGGTACGGTGCATTTGTTGTATCCCGCTATTAGCTTGTCCTTGATTCATTGGATAATTAATTCGTGGAAACGAATTAATTATTAATCTCGGATACTTAATTGGTCTCAGTGTAATTTATTTTTTTGATTAGCTGTCATCTGTGTATTTCATAGTTGTGTAAAGTAATAAATTAATTCTATTTAAAATAAATGTCCCGATGGGTTTCCTGCTGGTTCTTCCTAGGACAGAGGTTTTATTCGAACCAGTGGTCATAGTACCATATTGAATGAAAATGATTATATTCTATTCCAAAAGTCTTTTACGCAATAACCCTACATAACACATAATGAGTAACTACCTTCCTACATCAGAAGTGAGATTAAAGCTTTTTCCATAATAATCCTTTTATTTTAATCTATCTTTATACATATTGATAAGATGATGAATAGCTAAGGTAGTCGATTTATGTTTTTGAAAGCCATATTGATTTTTGTTTATAATGTTAAAATTATTGCAAAAAATTGTAGGTACGAAGGTAGTTGGGCGATAATCGCTAACGAAGTTCCTTTTGCCATTTTTGTGTATAGGCTTTACAATGGAGAACTGAAATGTTTTTGGAAAGCATCCTGTTGAGAATGACAAATTGACAATATGAGTCAATATGTCAATTATTTCATCAATGCATGACTTCAACTTTTGTGTATTTATCAACGCCGTCTTAGGCCATACCGGGGCCCTTGGGGCACACAAGAATTTGAGGCGCTTTTGGGAAGTAAAAAAAGTGAATGACAAAAACATTTTTCTGCTATGATCTTATATTTATTATAGTTAATTGGTTAAAATCAAATAATATGTCATTAATGATCCACGACTTTTTCTGCCACCAGGACGGCGCCACTTTACAATGATAAATATTTGACAGATTTCATAGCGGGGACGATAATTTCTTAGGAAAATATAAATTTTAATGTTTCTTTCCTAAACTTTCTTTCAAAAAAAGGAAAATATTCTATAACAACATCAATACGTGTAGTCTTTTTATTAATTATATTAAAATTTAGGCTTCAATTGTCCAAAAATAAAGATCGTAACAGTTATT